AGGTGATTTTATTTATATGCATTTCCATATATAATATACTTATAAATTACAGTTTAAGGTATCTGAACACATTAAACTAGAAAACAGTTTGTCTTGCACTTTTCACAACAAAAACATGGTTTGAAAGTGGCTACATAAGATAAAAAAAAAATACAAATGAATGAGGAAAAGGTGTTGTTAATCACATTGCAATATTTTATGTGGTGAAACTATTTTTTCTTACTTTGACATGGGCCGGTGAGCATGGCCATTGGTGTCTATCCCCAAAAGATGAAGGAAAAACACATTCTGTTCTTCATGTAACTTATTCAGCAGAGTTTCATTGCTTTTGGCAACATTGAAGAAATCCTGAACAAAAAAGGAAACATATAAGATAATTAATTAACAATCATTTTCTCTTTTTCTTTATATGTTATATATATATTCATTGCACACCAACTGAAATATTTCAGGTCTTTATTGTTTTAATACTGATGATTTTGGCATACAGCTCATGCAAACCCAAAATTCATGTCTAAATATTATTCCTGTCTAAAAAGGTAAATATTAATGGGAATATACTTCAGATATTTTACTCGTAAAAAATTACGAGTATGGGTGCCAATAATTGTGGCCAGCTCTAATAAGTATAAAAGACTTGAAATAAGAGTTGTGCAGGGTTTCTTCAAGTTTAGCCTCAAGCAACTGCATAAAAACACATTAAGTATCCTACCTTTACTTCATTAAATACCCATGTATCAAGTCTGGAAGCATCAGTGGAGGCGAAATCCTCCCGCTCTGGAGGGTAAGTGTGAGTGTACACATGGTCTCCAGTGGCTCCTACAAAACACAATGCCAGTAAAGCTACCAATTAGATTATTAAACTTCCATATATCTACACAGAGGTGTGTGGTTATACCTTTAGCAAACATTGGTAATATGTCAGGGCTGCCCCAACACCAGGTATGTCTGCTCTCATTAAAAACAGAATCAAACTCCACTGGATTCTCCTTCCAGCCTGTAAGCACAGAGATGTGAGACACATTATTAAGTTTATACACATATGTGTTATACACAAACACATGTATGGCTGCTTTTACCCTTGGCAACAGCACTAACGTCCTCGTAAAAGCCCGCTATTAGAGCCACATGACCTGGCCGTGATTCTGTAGGGACTCGAGTGTGTGACACTCCCCATGTGCCGCGCTCTTCAATCACAGTCCTTATGACAGGGAACAATAGGAAGCACAAGTTAAATCTATTTATACACCATAAAGAACACGATAACAAATAAACAATTATATTTAAAAGCAATAAACTATATTTATTATAATACAGCTGTTGTATTAGATTTATATTTCACAAACACACACACACATATACATATACATATACACACACACATATACATATATATATATATACACTTATTTAAGGTTGAGGTAGATATTAAACAGCAGATAAGTCATATTTTCTGAATGTTTCTATATGCAATATTTTTTCTGACAAATAAGAATTTAATCACTTAAAAAAGCGATTCACACTGGTAAGCAGGACAAAGATTAACCCATGTTCATCACCTTAGGTAAGGAGCCCTGCCTGTCCCATTGTTGTCTGGCTTAAAGAGACTGTCGGCTCTCAAACCATCTGCCACAAAGAGCACCAAGCGCTTGGCTGGAGGGGCCAAGGGGACATGTTGTGGTGTCATTCCATGGACAAGAGGGGACGTAAAATAGATGTCGAATATTGAGAGAAAGAAAACTACATGGACGATGAGTCCCACAATGAAGAATGTCATCATCTTCATTTTGTCTGCTGTCAGACTTGTGGCACTGATTTAGAAGAAGGAAAGGAATACAAGTGAAAAGTTAGACATTTGAAATACATTCTGTTATTTTCATTTTTTCGTCTTTAGAGTTTTGCCCTAAAGATTTGACATATTAGCATGTATATTCAAAAGGACTAAACTATCCATAGCCATCTCAAAAGTAGCCTAACATTAGCATTGAAAAAAAAATTTCAATCGTTTTAATAGTATTAACTATGAACTGAATAAATATTATTCTTACCTCTATGCAAATATCAGATTGAAACACAATCATAAAGTCGCTTTATCGAATATCTAGAAATATAAATGAGCACATCAGTAGACTGTCAAAGAAAGCACCCGGCAGAGCAGAGCACAGCATGAGTGACCATGAGTCTGATTCTGAGACAACACACAGCCTCTAAACAAAACGCGTCATAATCTTGTTTTAATGTGCTGTTATGTGTGTGGCGGGCAACTTGGCGTTTGACCTGCTAAACCAAATAGTTTGTAAGCAGATTAACAGAGAACTTTTCTTTACTTCCTTGTATTGGTAACCTTTGAACTGGAAATATGCACAATGCATCTTGGGAAATGTAGTTTACGAGAGAGTCTCTCTCTCTCTCTCTCTCTCTCTCTCTCTCTCTCTCTCTCTCTCTCTCTCTCTCTCTCTCTCTCTCTCTCTCTGGGAATGGGATTTCAGATGACAAATTATAGAACATTCAATACATTGAAATAATATTAGTTATTTTCTGACTATAAAACGAAATGCATTTGATTATACTGACATTTGATTATACTTTTTATAGAAGTCATCTAAAAACAATGTCTCTTTTACAGTTTTTTTTATTCGCTTTGGTACTATTTTCACAAGTAAGGTGTACATTTTCAAAACTCTTAGTGCTAATATCACAACAGATCATCAAAAGTGCACTTTTTTCAAACATTTCATCATGTTTTCAACTGTGTTAGTACAATTCACACAATCACAAAGTATCCTTTTCACAACACAAAATAAGTGTTACATCTACATTATTGTTTAATTCACAGTAACCGCCTTTCATAAAGCTCTTACTATCAAACTTTTGATTTGCATCTCTTTTTGTTCAGTTTAATACTTTTGTCTATTATTTAATCCAACAGATCTTAATGGTTAATCAATTAATCATTTGGTAAACCTATAGATTTTCATTTCAGCAATATACAGTATATGGATTTTTTAGAACTACAGAAATAAAATGTGTGTTTGTATTCTATTTAAATTACATGTAACCAGTAACCACACATGATGAATACTCGTTATAGCTAATTTTTTTTTTTTTTTTTTTTCACAATTTTTTTCACAGTCTGACCACAATTGGCCACTATGTACTGTAATGTGTGCACTAAATGTTATGTTTTGTTCTTCTTTAGTTACATTTCATTATAGAAAGTATACCTATATTACAATTATATCTGAAAAATAAAAACTATAATTTGCCTAAATGATTGTAAAGGATGTCTTCATTGATCCTTCATTTGATTAGGCCTACATATATGATGGATATTTGGAAATTATAGATTATGTAAATGTTGGGTACTGTAAGTGTATTGCCTAATGTTACAGTAAAACTGTGTAATCTGTCTTTTATAGTACTGTAGCATATTCATTTCAGCACTTCTAAGGCCGATTTGAAACATGTATCTTGCATTGTTTGCTGTTGGATGAACTGATTGTTAAAAGTACTAAACTGAAAGAAGATCATATTGTTGTGTTTCAGTGATTAAACCAAATGTTCTCATTACATATTACAATAATCTTGTGTTTGAAATAATTATTATGTGGACTGAAAACATGTGCAACTGACTGAAAGCATTACATCAGGTTTTGAAAGAATGACTAGCTGCGTTACAAGTGTGATCAGTTTGGATTTTTGTACTAAGAGTTTTGAAAATGTACACCTTACTTGTGAAAATAGTACCAAAGCGAATAAAAAAAACTGTATCTTTACAGAAACATAAAATGAAAAAAAGTCCTAAATTCTCTGTACATTTTGATAAGCTGTAAAGATATATAATACTGATTCCAATCAATAAAAAATTCACATTTTCTTTGCCCCATAATTAGTAGTCTATCAAGCTGTGTCTTTGAGTGTAAAATACTTACAGTAAAGAAAAATCGTTTCCTAAAAAAACGAGAACCGTTTTACAGTAACACATCATCTTACACAAGATAGATAGATAGATAGATAGATAGATAGATAGATAGATAGATAGATAGATAGATAGATAGATAGATAGATAGATAGATAGATAGATAGATAGATAGATAGATAGATAGATAGATAGATAGATAGATAGATAGATAGATAGATAGATAGATAGATAGATAGATAGATAGATAGATAGATAGATAGATAACGTGAGGTCGTATTTATTTTTAAACGTGCGAGAATGTCGGACTCAGCTGTATGCAAGGACATTTAGTTTGAGACTTTTATTTTGATAACAATATAAAACTGGATTTTAGGTTGTGCTAGCTTGCTTCACTACGGAGTCGCGTTTCTTTGGGACTTTTATTTTGACACAAACATGATTACCTTAGTTACGCGTATGCTAGCTAGCTTCACTTAGGTTTTAGAGTTGTAGGAAAGAGAAACAGCAGAAGGTTTGTTAATGGTATATAAATTGTGCGTTCAAATGTTTAGATAAACCTTTTATCACTCTATCTATTATATAGTACTTTAAAGAGCTTATATTGCTTGTGGTGTTTAACATACTTCGTTATAGTTCATCTGCTGGACATAGAAACCGATTCCGAGCTATGGCTGGCAGTAGCATAGCGATGAAAACATGGGAGCTGTCAAACAGCATGCAGGAAGTTCAGAGTATTGATGAAATATATAAGTATGATAAAAAACAACAACAAGAGATTCTGGCGGCCAAACCATGGACTAAAGAGTTAGTATACCTCACCATAAGAATTTCTTCCTCATCAAAGCATTGTGTCTTCGAATGATTAATAACACAGTTCTCCATACTGCGTTTCTTGTTTACAGCCATCATTATTTTAAATACTGCAAGATATCAGCTTTGGCACTGTTGAAGATGGTGATGCATGCCCGTTCTGGAGGAAACCTGGAGGTGATGGGACTCATGCTGGGGAAGGTGGATGGAGAGACCATGAACATCATGGACAGTTTTGCTCTACCCGTGGAAGGCACTGAAACTCGAGTCAACGCTCAGGCTGCAGCCTATGAATACATGGCTGCATATATAGAGAATGCTAAACAGGTACACGGAACCTAACAGATTCTCCAAAATTCATATTAGACAAATAGATAATAAGAATAAGCCCACATTTTGTTTCCAAATATGATAATATCCACTGTTTTCTGTTTAATCTGTTTTCAATATCTATGCGACATGCTCCTTTAAACATATTATTTTACAAATTTTACAGTTTTCATGATTTAATATTAACTGAGAGATTACATGGGATATTTGCCCTTTAAAGATGATTTAAAAATAGTAAACATCCTAAAACAAAGGATCCCATCAGAGGAAGTAAAATATTTATAATTTTTTTTCTAAAATATTTATATATTTATTTATACTTGTATACATTTGGTTTTTATGATCTACTACTACATGGAATATTTGCACTTTTAAAAATGTATTTATTAAATCACAAGATTTAATATGAATTCATGAAGGCAAAATAGGGATTTAAAAAAGAATAATACAAATCTAATAGTTTACACTGTACATTCATTGGCATATTATGTGTCAACTCGTCATGAATGTCATGCCCAGCACATGATGAAATATTATTAATTCTGAGGCTCGTCTATAAATTCATTTAGGTGGGGCGGTTGGAGAATGCCATTGGATGGTACCACAGTCATCCTGGATACGGCTGCTGGCTCTCAGGCATAGATGTCAGCACTCAGATGCTTAACCAACAGTTTCAAGAGCCCTTTGTCGCAGTAGTGGTAAGTGCTGTTGGAAATGTTAAACTTGTTGCTTATTTTGCATTAGGGCTGATTTTGCAAAGTCCATTATACCATCAATCTATAAAGACAGAAGGAAAAAAATAGCTCATCTACGAAGTATCAATTTAAATTCAGCAATATCAGTGATCCATATTTGACCCCCGAAATACGAAAGAGTTTGGTGACATTTGTAGTGGTGTCTGATTAATTGCTGTTGGCTTTGTAACTGAATACATTATACAGTTTACCCTTCATTGCCATTGCTTATTTTGTGCCGAGGGCAAATAGCAAGCTGAGCGCTCATAACTTTCTCCAGCTAAACTGGCACCTCAGTGTTTTTATTTGTTATTTTTGACTGAACTGTTTTGCTTATTACAGTCCTTGTAATTTTTCATCCTTCTCAGATTGATCCCACAAGGACTATATCCGCAGGGAAGGTCAATCTTGGAGCTTTCAGGACATATCCGAAGGTAATCAGTAAATTCTTTTTTGTAACCGTGTAGTTTTTCATATTCATGTGTCTATTCATTTATATCACCACATATTTAAATGTTAACGTTAGGGTTACAAGCCTCCAGATGAGGGTCCATCTGAATACCAGACCATACCTCTTAACAAGATTGAGGATTTTGGAGTGCACTGCAAACAGTAAGCTTTTCTGTGTTTTTATCATTGTAAATGATTTAAATTGACTGTATATGAACTTCACAATAAACCGTCTACTGCTTTTAGGTATTATGCTTTAGAAGTGGCTTATTTTAAGTCTTCCCTGGATCGCAAACTCCTAGAGCTGCTTTGGAATAAGTATTGGGTCAACACTTTGAGCTCCTCCAGTCTGCTGACAGTAAGCACTCTCTTTTATTAATGTTAAGTTTATTTTACAGTGTCCTTTTTACATGTTTCATGTACGTACTGTAGTGATGGCAGTAAATTATATGGAACTAAGAGCACATTTATTACAAGAAAACGGAAACGTTTTTCCTTCCCCTCGAAATCGCCTCTGTTAAAATATTAGAGGGTACAAGTTTTTTATGTGGATGAGATTGATAATATGACAGGGGTTTGTTGACAACCTGTGCACATGATTAATTTTTGTAGATGCTGCTTTTGTTTCCTTACCTATTTGTTTTGAAAGCCTGTCAAAGTTGACCACGACATTCTGTCATGAGCCTTGTTTAACACTTTCAATGAGCTGTAGACTATCTAAACAACAGCCTCAGCGCGCCGTTAGAGATGAATTGACTACTTGTCAAGAGCGTCTTGCTACGCCGAAGAAGAAGTGTTGTCAGTGATTACGTTGTCACCTTAATTCGTTGAGTCTGTCTTTTGTTGTGAACCCTCATCTGGGCAGTGTACAACCTCACCTTCAGCAAACTTTTGAGACCTCATTCAGGGGGCTTCGGTAAACAATTCAGAAACCTTTTGAATTGACCATCAGTGAAAGGCGTGTTTTATGAATGTTTAAGTATTGTTGTGAAATCGTGCATTAACCTAGGCTCTAGTCTAGAGCGAGCGAAATGGTGGTGTTAACGGCTCTTGTTCCTTCAGAATGCAGAGTACACCACTGGACAGGTTTTTGACTTGTCGGAGAAGCTCGAGCAGGCTGAAGCCCAGCTGGGACGAGGCAGTTTCATGCTGGGCTTAGACACGCATGATAGGAAATCTGAGGACAAACTAGCAAAGGCTACACGTGACAGGTAATACGATCTCTATTAATTCAATATGAAGAGCTTCCCTTTTTAGAGTTTTTGACTATTTTCAGAACCTTGATGTCATTTTTCACAACTCTAGACACAAAACTCAAAATGCACTAACTCTTTTCTTAATTGCTTGGATACAAAACACATAAAACTTAGAGATCATGTTCATTCAACAAAAATCACCTGTTCAATATGACTCAACTTAACATCATTCAAAAGTCAATTCACACATTACATTACAAAAGAGTGTCAATTCATTTCTTTACAATGATCGAACTATCAATTGATACAATGCTCAAAATGATAAGTAACTGTTGCATTACGCTTAATGTATTTACGCTTCCATGTTTACAGTAAATCATGAAAGTTTCAAGATAACGAGATTCATTTGTCGCCAATTAGCGTGGAGCATGAACCAATTAGACAACAATATCCATATTTATTTTTGATTCCAATAAACCTATGTTGTGATTGTACTGTAGTGTTTTGCATCAATATATCACACACTTTGTTCAATGATTCCATTATTTGTGTATTCTCTCTACTACTGCAGTGCTTTTACAGAGATGTGTTTACTGTACATGTCGAACCATAATGAAACTTGTGTCACCTTTTTTGTTCTACAATATTTAATGATTGTGTGATCTATAATTATGTTTCAATGGTATTTCACAGTAAATTTGTTTTTTGAACCACGATTGTGCAAGTGCAAGATGTGAATGCACAATGCAATGTTTTGAACATTAGACAGCCTGTGTTATAAGTGATAACCGTTTTGGTTTTGTGTCTAGAGTTTTGAAAAATGACATCCTGTTTCTGACAATAGTAGCAAAGTGATTGTAAAAAAAACTGTATATGTAGTGTCAGTTATGATAAATAATTGGAGTAAGTGTACTGTGCTAGACTAACTGGGACTGTTGGCTTGATTGCTTCTATTGCTCTCCTCATTTGTAATTCGCTTTGAAAAAAACGTCTGCTAAATGATTAATTATTAATGTGAAATTGTGAAATAAATTGGGTAGGGCAAGTTCATTATTTTCAAATGTGACAAACTGATAATTAAAATAATTTTTAGAGGCATTAACAATTAAATAACAATTTAAAAACATCTACATTCATTTCGATATAATCCTGAAAAAAAGCTTCATTCTAGGTTAATTTTTTTTAATCTTTTTAATTTTCTCAATTAAAGTACAGACTTTTAATGTGGTTTTAAAAAAACAGTTTTACAGAACTGTAAAAAAAGTTTAAAAAATGTATTAAATGCCTTATAATTTGTAAAAAATTTAGAAAAATTAGAAATTAGGTAAATTCTTCTATTTGAATCTTGATTTCACATTCATATTTTGTATGAGATCATGGGTAACTAACATGAGTCTCTTGTTGGTGTAAAAAGTCCCCTTTTTTATACTTGTGCTATAGTCCCGCTAGTGACCTAATATGTTATTTTATGCATTTTAACACATTATAACAACATTTTCTTTGCCCCTCAGCTGCAAAACGACCATTGAAGCAATTCATGGTTTGATGTCCCAGGTTATCAAAGACAAACTCTTCAATCAAGTGAACACATCTACCAACTGAACTTGGAAGGAACTGCAATTAGATGACTTCACATTCTGTGTTTGCTTAGTTATGTGTTCTTTCGTTATGGTTCGGCTTTGAACGATTCAAAGCAATTCTCCTGTAGGAATATTTGCATCATTTGTTTAAACAAAGAAATAAACTGCTGTTCGGTTTTATTAGTTGATGGACATTGTGTTTTTGCTTCATCTTTTCTTCGCTCAACATACATGTAATGTTTAGGATCTGTAAACGGCTCAGTTTGTCTGAAAAATAAAGTCTTGTCTGAAATTCTAACTCGCACAGCTCATCGTCAAAGCTGTCCTATGGATCAAGACAAATGAGTTTTCCTTAGCGCCGCATGTTACCAGACGTTTGAAATGTATTCTCCTCTGGGTTCAGTGTGTAACACGGTACCGCACCATTCCCATTTCCCACAGTTTGGGATCGGGATCTGTAATAGCAGTATTCCATCCACACACCCTAAAAACATTATATTTAACATGTTAACAGAAACCGCAAGAGGTCATTTTCATATTTGCCAGTCATAGCATTACATAATGGAATAACAAACTCAACGGCCCAAAGATAAACACAGCTTGGCATGGCCACAGCGCATCTGTCAGGACGACCCTGTGCAGGTTGTCTCTGTGTAGTACACAATCCTTCAGGATTCTGAGTGTTACACTGTGGCCTGTCACTGATGCATCACAGAAACAGGAGCTCGATACAGTGGAGTCTATTCAGCACTGTGTGTCTGCTCTTTATCGCGGCGTGCACTCAACGCCTGTGTGGTTTCATGCACACAAACTTGTCTGCATTTTCTTAGAGACAACAGCGGTGACGTCAAGCACGTTTTTGTCCCTATTTTTAAAATGTACTGTTATGTTCCAGAAAAAGCAACAGTCTGTTCAATTATGCCTCATATTTTGGCCTGAAAGTGGCCAAAATATTTTTAGTCCATAGAGGATTTAATTAATTAAAATCGCAGTCATCAAAACCATTCGTAAGTTCTGTATTTCACCCATTGTAATTACAAATAATGCTAATAATCATCACCAGATGAGCATTTTTAATACTTTAAGGAAAGGAGAGTTGACTGAATAAATGAGATGATGTACTGTAGCCTAAGCATGAGCAAATGAACATCAGCCAAATCCATTAACTAATTTTCCGGTATGTTTTCCATTAGCAAGTCTTCTTAAATTACTTGGAATTCCACTTCATTTGCTGAACCCAAAGAAAATGTTTTAAAATAATAATAATTTTGATGAATATGTGATTAAGAGAATATATCTGAGCGATGAGCACAAATCATCAGCATCACAAGGACAATGTTAAACTAGCCTTTGGGACCTACGACCTCAATATTTGGTAGTACTGATGTTTTCTTTGGACCTTATAATAATAATCTCAACAAGCATGGCAGTAAGGAGCCTGAAACATTAATGCACTAGACGAGAGTCTGAAAAGGGGAGAACTCCCCCTCTGCGTCCCTAGACCAACCAAAGCTACATTTCCTTTCTGCCAAGTACGCTGCATGCTAAATAGAGGTCACTCAGTCTCAGGAAGCACATTCCTTCACAGTATATAGCCTAACAATACACGGGTCACTGCAGTGCCTCTGTCCAGCCCACCACACTGATATGCATTATTAGGGGCAGCAGTTTGAGCTTTAAGAAGGGGAAATATTCGGTCTACCAGCCGAAGCTGATAAACATGGTTTCTGATTTCTACATGTGAATGCTTAAAGGGATAGTTCACCCAAAAATGAAAATCCTGTCATCATTTACTCACCCTCAAGTTGTTCCAAATCCGAATGAATTTCTTTCTTCTGTTAAACAAAAATTAAGATATTTAGAAGAATATGGGTAACCAAACAGTTTATGGGCCCCTTTGATATCCATATAAAAAATACGATGGAAAGTACTTACATTCTTCAAAATATCTTCTTTTGTGTGCATCAGAAGAAAGACATTCATACAGGTTTGGAAGTTGGAACAACTTGAGGGTGAGTAAATGATGACAGGATTTTCATTTTTGGGTGAACTATCCCTTTAAGGGTCTTGTCTACACTAATAAGCATCATGGTTGGCCACAGGTTTTAGTTTGAACCTTTCTTCTCTTCCCAAACAATTGTCTTTCACCTTGTAATCATCTGCACACGTGTAGGGTAAATTGTTGTGTCATTTATTTGTGTGGCCTTTTTTTTTTTTTTTTTTTTTTTTTTTTTTGCTTCATTTGTGCCTTCTCGGGCAAATGTCAACTTTCTAAAGGGCACAGGTATGTTTTATTGTTATTTTATTAGACTGACTCAGACGTTCATTTATGCTATACCTTTAATGATAGAAGTTAATTCTAATTTAAATTAATTAAACATCTTATTAATTACTACAGCTCTTAGTAGAATAAATGACTTTTAACAACAGCATAAAACATTCTTTCACACATATATCGAGAGTACAAGCGGTGAACGTCGTGTTCTAAAGTCCACAATGTAAACTTTTCTCCATTTCGGTTGAGAACGTCATGCAACATTTTGATCCTCTCAGCCGCGTGATCTTGCGCTCGCGTCGCTTCACCATGGGAACATCAGCTCGCTTCCTAAACAAAGCCGAGACAAGAGGAGAACAGAAGGACATAACAGCAGCAGAAACACTTTGTGTTCATACCTGACGACAGTTAATTCACAACATTTGTATTATACTTATATTAAGGTAAGAAGATGCGGTGCTTATTTTATAGCGTGCGTGTGCCTTTTCTGTTTACATGACAACAGTCAGTGGCCTTGCTTGTCATTGTTTATTAGAAATAAGAATGCTCATTTATGTGTATTGCAATATTGTTAATATACTGCGGTGTATTATAAAGATTGGCAAACTGCCATCTTTATCCCGTTCCCTAGAGGGTAACCACAGAAAGTTATTGATTTTAAGAGGCTCTCCATGTCAAATCCCCATAGTTTGCTGCTCTGAGATCAAGTGTAAAACCGACCTGCTGTCATGTGTTGATGTATGTATTCCCTTTACTTCTGTCCTAAAGTTCATCTTCTGGTTGACAATATAGTGAGTTCCAAAAGACAATATAGAGATATGAATCAGAATAGGCTATATGGAATAAAATATAATTTAAGGTCTTTCCAAGGAAGTCTTTTTGGTAAGTTTTTTTTTTTTTTTAATGCAGATGTGCAGGATGTGTCAATACAGACAATGCATAACTCAATGGTATTGGGTTATTTTGTTTTTCCTTGGGAGAATAGATCTCCCTTTATGATAATTTGAGGTCACATGTCTATTTCACACATTTGCCCTCAATCTCACTTTTCAAAAATAATATGTAATTTTGACAAAGGTTTGCGGGTCAATTGAATAAATATGTCTCTTAAGTACAGTAAAAAATAATGGTCACTCACCACATTATCCCTTTCAAAAAATAATTTAAAATCAATATAGACGCAATATTTAGAGATTAGGGGCTGTATTAAAGAAACTTCTGATCTTAATTTCTCACTTAAAGGCAGAGGTGATTTGTTCCAGAAACATTTTTTGTTTTGCTGGTTGAAAGTCTCTTTACATCCTGATAGCAATCACTAACTTAAGTGATCAAAATATTTAAATGCATAGTCTGTGGAAGGCTTAGGACCATAAAATGTTCATCCGAAATTAACAAAAATGACCTATTAAGATAATTAAACTACCTGTTAGATTTGAAAATGTTCTATTTCTTAAGCAAATTTACCATGGTTACTAAATAGATAGGATTGCATGTACTCTAAATTCTATTTGATCATATGTTCTTGTATTGCTTATTGTGTTTTTGGCTCTCTCATAAATCTTCTTATTCCCTTGACATGCTGTGCTGCAAAAGAGAAATCTATCCTGTGATATTTTTACACACAGAGTCATTATGGTCCGCCTGACAGTGGATCTGATCGCAAAATCAAGCAATCACTCAAAAACCTGCAGAAGTGTATCTCTCCAGCAGTATCTGAAGAAACTGACCCATCTCAACTTTTCAAACAAAAGTATAGAGGACATTGTAAGTTTAAAGATCAAATGTGTTCAAATTCTAGTTTCCAATAAATTAAATATTGCACTACCATTCAAAAGTCTGGGGTCAGTGAGAATTTTGTCCACCATAGATGAATTAAATTGATTAAGTGACATCATTAAAGACTTACATTGAAAAAAAGCTCTTTCCAGAAAAATCTTAAATTGCACAGATAAAATGTTAAAATTAATAATAATAAGAAGAAAATGTTTCTTGAGCACCAAATCAGCATATTAGAATGGTTTCTGAAGGATCATGTGACACTGAAGCCTGGGAAAATTAATGAGATCACAGGAATAAATTACATTTAAACATATATTAAATAGGGCTGTGCAAAAGTTAATTGCGATTAATCGCATCCAAAATAAAAGTCTGTGTTTACATAGTATATTTGTGTGTGCTGTATATAATTATTTTGTATATATAAATACACACACATGCATGTATATGTTTAAGAAAATGTGTTATTCCTGTATAAAATATTTATATTTATATAATATAGATTATGTATTTTTATTTATATACAGAATTTAAGCGCAAATAATTCTTAAATATATACATGCATGCATAGGTATTTATATATACAAAATAATTATATACAGCACACTCAAATATATTATGTAAAACAGACTTTTATTTTGGATGCGATTAATCGCAATTAACTTTTGCACAGCCCTAATATTAAAATAAAATATACACACTATTACAGTTTAACTGTATGTATGATAAATGCAGCCTTGGTGAGCATACAAGACTTATTTCAAAAACATCAAAAACTTTTCAATGGCAATATTGTTAATGTTTATTGATTATTTTCCTCTTTAACATATAGGATGATCTATCGATTTGCAGAAACCTCACAGTCCTTTACCTTTATGACAACCAAATATCACAAATCTGCAATTTGGGATTTGCCTCAAAACTTACACATTTATATATGCAAAATAACAATATCGCTTGCATAGAGAACCTCTCATCTCTGCATAATCTCTCCAAATTGTAAGTATATGATAGTGTAAGTGTTATTATTCCTCATCACATTCCTGCTTGCATAGAAATGAAGTTTGACATTAATATTGTGTTGTTTGCTACAAATGTTTCTGTATTTGAGATTCTTGGGAGGAAACAGCATCACTGTGGTGGAGGGATTAGAGGAGCTGAAAAGCCTAAAGGAGCTGCACGTGGAAGGTCAGAAACTACCCAGTGGAGAAAAGCTGGTCTTTGACCCGAGATCCATTTCTAGCCTATCTGTGAGTAACTCGTTTCTTTAACAATCACCTCAGTGAATAACAGGTCGTTCAATGATATCTTCAGACTAGTGCACTTATATTTAGACTGATATAGCACAGTGTCCTAAAGCATCTCGTTTGCTGTCAGAATCAGAAGAGAGGTGCACAACTCAAGGACCAAGATGTGTATCAAAGCAGTTCTGTGCAAAATTTGATGAGGGTAAAAGAGGTCTCTGTGGCTGCCTCCTTGTCTGACAAATCAACAGGGGAGTATTTATCGCCCAGGCAATGGGAAAACAAACCGAAAAGTTGAGAATTTTGTTTATTTTGATAATTAATGAAATTGCAAGTGTAAGTGCACCCAATTTTTCCCCTGCAAGAAAAAAATCCTAAATGCTCTCCTTTTACTAACAGTGAAATCTTCATTGATTCGCCTGAAGTGGAACTGGTTTCAAATTTAAAGTGCATTACTAATTATATTTATATTATATTCTTTCAGGAAACCCTGTGCATTTTAAATATCTGCAAAAATAACATTGATGATATATGGGAATTGGCCCCTCTCAGAAAACTCACCCATCTTTTTGCTGCTGATAACCAGCTACAGGACATACAGGTAACTATGGTTTTCCAAAAATAAGATACTTATGAGCAATGGTTTATTTAATAATTTTTTCTGTTTAAATATGACGACGTTGTATGTTCCTATGATGAAATGATATGAGGGAGAGTAGCGCAAAAACCTAATCCTACAAATCCTTCCAGCAATCTCCAGACGTGCACAGGGTCAGAATTATTCAACAAATCAGTGGGCTGGTCTCCAGGGACAGCTTCTGCTGACAATTTAAACAAGCAGAAGTTTTCCTCCTCAGTATACACTACACTCAGTGCTCAATACACTCAGTGCCCCGTTTAACTTCAGCCTTGTATTAAAAAAACATTTAAAAGCCTCTTCTGGAAAAGGGATTTTCCAAGCTATCGATATCACACATTCAATAGTGACTAAAGGATTGGTGAAGGAACACTTTCTGAACTCCTTGAAAAAAAAAACCTTGTCAAGCACCTCGCTAACTTTGTCCGACAGCACAAAAGACAATTCTCTCAGCAACTGCCACCGATAATAGTGATCCATGTGTCAGAGGAAGCTTTCATGTTTAGCAGATATCTCCTTTAATTTATACAACCCCTTTGCCACTATTGATTCAGTGGCGACAGCACCCAAAGGATCAATTCCTGCCTTACGCAGTTTGGTCCAATTCCAGAGGAAACATTATGGATTTTTAAAATAGATTATGACAGGCAGTCAGCCGAGTGACAAATGGGTACTGCAGAGGCTGTTAGTGGCGCACGGCCAGACAGTGCAGATAGGGATCGAAGCGCTGGTCAAATACAGGTTCATAACTGGCCATCATTAACCCAGTGTGGGGCTGGAAAGAGCCCAGTCAGGAGTGCATTCAGCACTCCCCGCGCATGGGAGGGCAATTTGGCGCTGGGCAGTTCCCAGCCAAGCCCTCAGAGTGACAGACCTGACACGATCATTTATCAAAGCCTGAGAGCGCGCGGCTCGCTGGGGTCCCGCTAGAGCTGATTGCACGCGGACTGAAAAGTGGAAGCATTTTAGTTGAGACAGGAAGGCAATGAACAATCAGAGCGTGTCCAGAGAGTATTCATATTTCCAGCCTGGATTAATGTGTCCTTAGATAAACATACACTGCAGGCAACACGCTTGAGGACTACTGCCCAGGGGAACTTGTTAGTCCGAGTGACAGTATTTATTAAAACAAGCTGATGTTTTGTTTAGACTTTTTTGCCCCTCCAAATTAGTTTTTTAGGCTTGTGCCCTCTTTGTCGCCCTGACCATGAAGATTTTAAATCTTCAAAATCTTTTCAGTGTTCAGGATTCTTCCAGGATGCAAAATGTCATTTGGAACATTTGGAAAAGATGTTTTTTACTCTTGTCTACCAATGATTTTGAAATGTAATGCCTTTATTTACGCTCTCAGGCGTTAGAGACAGTGTTCAGCCAATGGTCTCAACTGCGGCTACTGGATCTGAGAAGAAATCCTGTGTGTCACAAACCTAAATACAGGGACAGACTAATAACTGTCTGCAAAATTCTAGGTGAGAATTAGCTATCTTGTGAAGATGAGTATTTAGTCATTTAAAAATGCAATTATTTGTTGTTAAAGAATCAGTGATTGGTTTCCTTTGTTATGTCATTTATTTATTTGTTTATTTTGTATCATTATTATTTTATGTATTTAATTTGTCACTTTTAATGACATTTCAAATAAGCATTTGAATTATTTTAATAGTTATTTTTATTGGTGGTGTGCTTGGCATTTTAAATAATTGTTTAGTCAGCAAAATTATACAGAAACTGTATTTATTTCTTGATATTTAGAGGACCTCGATGGAAAACAAATAAATGAGCTGTCTAGGCAGTTTCTAATCAACTGGAAAGCCTCGAAAGATGCAAAGAAGAAACTAGAGGACGAAAAAGACGTCAGAGGACAAATCACAAATCCACCTACAAGTATAAATATTGTGTGTGTGTGTGTGTGTGTCATTATTTAGATTAATGCATTATATATATAGAGGATTAAAATAAATGTTATATTATTAAATATGACTTTACACACTGTATAATTTGTATTACAAATACAATAGGGCACTAACATGTCACCATTATCGTAAAATTTCTTTGGTGAGTGCATTGTAATGAAATTGTCATTGTTCTCTGATATTTGCTGTAATTTATTTATTTATTTATTTTGCTATAATGCATTTCTAATGGGCAAGGCATTTTTTTCACATTCCACTATTGTACATCATCAGCATGTGGTTGAGCAAGTATCCATGTCAGTTTCTATGACAATGTGTGACTAACCCGTGTTTTGCTTTAGCTGATATTCAGACGGGCACTCAACATCTCTTTGCCCATGACCGCAGTAGCTCTCTGAGAAAGCCGTCAGAATTTGGGAAGCCCGGCGTTGCATTTCGGACAGACCAAGCTCAAGCAGACAACAGAGGAAGAAGGTATGAACTATTTAGTTTTTTGCTTTTTTTAAATTAATCAAACTTACGATACTTACTTATCTGCTATTAAAAAAGTGGAAGAAATTCTTAGATAAAGCTATCGGTGTAAAGTTGCATGCAGCTACTCATTTGTTGCCTTCAGTCAAATGCCTGCTGCTTGTCAAGTTGTATGACTCTTATTTTTCCCACCCATGCAAATAAACAGCTTTCTCCTTTAGAACTGGCCTGAGGTTAACCACAGTTCTGTGCTGTGTAATGTGATAGCATCTTTTACTGCACAAATCATACCCCTTTGATGTGTTAATCCTATTGGTTATCATATCAGTTGCTTTATCAGTGTGTGGAAATCATTGTTAGCTACAATAAATATGAACTGAATGTTTTTGTACTTATAAGAAAAAAATGTAACAAGCCAGAGTATAAGTAAAAAGAATGATAATGCTGAATGACAGTTGTTTAAAGCCCTAATTTTCTATGTTATTATAGGGGTTCAGTAACAGAAGGATTTTAGTGATAATTTATATAAGCATATATTAGACATTGTGTGCCAGGATGTTATAGTTTTTGGCTTTTTTTAGCATTATTTACTATTTTGACTATTAACAAATATTGTTTAAATGTTGTTTTAATAGTGTAATTCACATTTCATTTGATTTACTTTAATTCATGAATGTTCTGATATGTTCACAGGTCAAGGGGGCTAAATATTCCAATGCGGAGAGGCAGACTCTGAAAATCTGAAACTGCTGATTTAAAACCCTTTATCAGTGTCCTTTTGGCTTTTAAAAAGTATTTGTCACCTGTGTGAGGACTTTTCCTAAATACTTCCAATACAGCGAGTCTTCAGCTCTGCAACTTACATACAATGTGAATTTCTGAGCAGGTTCACCATTATGCACTATCGTGACAAGTATTTTGCACTGCCTAGTTTGCATCTTCAATTTCTTATTTCTTAAATATTTGTGTATGTGTTTGTTTGTAATAAATTTACTTTGCAAAATGTTTGAGTATTTTTAATATCAACATGTTTTGTTCATCATTCTTTAGGATAAGAATAGTATTAGTAATGTTATTGTTCATTAAATAAAAACAATCCTAGTTGAAATAGGTCATTTTAATGACAAAATCTCAAAGTGAGATTGTATTTGCCATTTGAAATTCTCTGACTATACATCTATAGTTTAATTTTCTATTTTTTAGCGTTTGATAATGCTTTTAGTTATTTATAAAATATAATTTTAGCATGTTGTGTTTTTTGTTTTTTATAAAATAATATATGTAGTATATTTCTCTGATCAAATTGATTTACAAATAAATGGTCCAAGTCTCACTGCATCGTGCTTTAAATTTAATTAATTAAATAGTAGTTTACATTCAGAGCTAATCATATTATCTTTTAGATTCATATAATTATTTTTCCGACTAAGGATTTATTTCAACTTACACATTATTCATGGTCAGACACTGCGTTCTGGACCGGAACGGTATATGAAATATAAAACTGATTTTATAATAATGTTTAGACATAGGCCTATAGAATACGCGGTGAGTAAGATGCACGAATATAATTTCTGCGTATTTGGGAAATTTGTATATCTACACCAGTATACCCTCTGAAAGATGTAGAGTAATTAGACAGAGAAGCTTACTTAACCTCATTTGCTCTGCTTCATAATTATTGGCCTGCGGGCAATACTGTTACTTCATCCTTAGGAAAACAATGTTTATTAAGAACAGTCTCAGATATACATGTTATGAATAATTCCATTCATTAATTCTCCCACATCTCCGTTTGCGGAAAACAGAATGATTAATTTAGGAGTCTCACAAGAATTTCCTCAAGCATGCCAGTTGATTGCAGTGTTTAGAGTTTATTTATTGGCTTTGTCCCAGAAAATGAAGCTGATGTCTGCGGCTCAAAATTACAATATCGGCATGCCTTTTTAAAATGTTAAAGAATAGGCTAATTAAATTGTCTTGGGCACTGCCAGCTTGATTACAATATTGTTGAATTGTATAACAAAAAAAGTCATAAGCACCAAACAAAGCCAATAAATGGGATACGAGTAGCCTATTTATTTCTTAAATAGCTAAACAATATGTTATATAGTTTTCTGAAGTTGTGGATTACAAAGTGGTTTACAAAGTAACCGAAAAATCCTGCCTCTGGCGTCGGATAATGCACTGTACCTCCTACCGACCGATGCGAGAACGGCTCCAGTTGCCAGAGTTTTTGTGGCTTTTGATTAATTACACCGGAGTGAAACACTTGTCAGCTCTTTGTGTTGCCCGATAAATTAGAGGCTCGTGAGACTTTACGCAGTCATTCAGGTGAGGACGCTTCGTGTGCGCGGACGTACAGCCTTCCCATATAGACGACCTTTCACGCGCAGCATCATAACTGTATTTTTCCAACGAGAAGGGGACTAATAATTTACAACTTTACTTTTGCCGAGCTGTGGAGGTTTTCATGCCTTGATGTGTGTTTCTTAGGACAGCACTTGAAACGATAATACAGGTATGGTTATAACATTGTATGTTCTCATGAAAATGCACCTTAAAGAGTTTTAAAACTGCATTTAATATGATTTAATGTAGCCTAAATCATAACTGCTGCTTCATAAGCTTCCACATTAAATGACTCACTCTACTGGATATGAGTTTTTGGGGGGCTCACTTGAGGCAAATGTTCCCATAAAAGTTGTTAACGAGTGTCTGAGCTTAAACGTGTTTTTGACATATTCTTTAATATTTGTAATGTGCCCGTTTACCTATTTAAATGTGTATTTTTTAACGTAGCCCACTATTTCAACCAGGTTAAGGGGTAATTCCAATGGTTGGAAGACAGTCGATCCGTATGGATGGCACTGGTTCTGTGACAGTTATGGATGACAGTCCCGCATCAAGCCCCAACTCGAGCCCCAGTCCCGAAACTGTCTCAGCGGACAGCCGGCGCGCAGAGGCCCTGTCCCACTCCAGGGTGGTCCCGTCTAGTGGGCTCGGTGGCCGAGGGAGACCCGCAGCAGCCAACGCAGCGCGCGAGAGGAGTCGCGTGCAGACGCTCAGGCATGCGTTCCTCGAGCTGCAGAGAACATTACCGTCGGTGCCACCGGACACCAAACTGTCCAAACTCGACGTCTTGATATTGGCAACCACATATATAGCGCATTTAACGAGAACCTTACAAGAGGAAGGGATGGAAGAGGACAACACGAAACAAACTGAAGCTTTGAATTCACTTAAAGGCGATGGTTACTTGCATCCTGTGAAAGTAAGTTTTGGTACAATCTGCTGTCCAATTATTAGCCTATTTTTACCATGAAATAGAAATTTAAACATAACATTTTTCACAAGTTTTGAATTAGGCTACTTTAAGATTAAGGTTTATTCTAGCCTAGCCTACTTGCCAATATCCATTTTACGCGTGCCAATTCATATTATGAAACAGTTTTAAAATAGCCTAAGTGTTGGTATTCATTGTTTTTGTCTTTCAGAAATGGCCAATGCGTTCAAGATTGTATATCGGTGCCACTGGCCAGTTCCTGGGTAACTCGAATGAAAATCAAGGGGCATCTTCATCATCGTCTCAAACATAGCTTAGATTATTTGCACAAAAGATTTTTGGAGGTAATGATTTAAAAATGAAGGTTAAAACATGTTGTTGTTTTAGTAATTTTGTTGCACAAATTGTCCAGTTTCAGCCTGTAAAATGTTGTTTTACGCTACAAATGAACAGAAATCTTTGAACTGATTAGTCATTATGCTACAGACAGCTGAATAATTGTGCATATTAATATATCCTAATTATTTCAAATATGTAAATAAGATTGTAATATTAAACTTTTGTGTTTTTTAACTGTGGGTTTCTGCTAGACTTTAGCTATTTGCAGTTCTGTACTTGTCTGAAATTCCGTGTGTTGGGTTATATGAGCTGTCATGCTTGAGCTGTCGGCTATATGCACTTTCTGTTACAACATTTGCACTAAACGCTTGTGTGAATAACTTAACATTCGTCATGTGAAGTGGTCTGTCAGAATCGCAACAATAGCATCACCATCCCCTTTTTTCTTTTCGCGTGAATAGTATGTGCAAAATAATAAATAAAAATTCTTAAACTAAAATTACACTGATCTCAAGTTTATATCATTCTTATCTATGTTTTTTCTAAATCATTCACAATGTGCAATATAATGTGTTCCAACAGTATTTACCATACACTGAACATTTTAAATATAGCCTATCCAACAGTTATTAGGCTAGGCTATAACATATCATGCAATATATCATGCTGTACAACAATTTATCAAACATTAAAAAGAAAAACCTTTTAAAGCTTGGTCATGACAAATTACTGAAAAGTAATTTGAAAAAAAAAAAAAAAAAAACCCAAAACAGAAAAGTTTATAGCCCCGATTACTATTGATGTAAATAGTAGGCTAGCCTATGGCTGACAGAATGGATAATTTTTATCTAAATTGTGGATATTATTATAAAATAGGGTATAATATATAGTAATGCATACTTTATACCTTACTAGCCTAGTGTGTGTGTGTGTGTGTGTGTGTGTGTGTGTGTGAATGCTACTCCCATGTTACTGTGTAGGCTACTTTGGGTTTGAGTAGCAAGCTTCTTTCATGAAAGAAATCAAATTCCAAAATGTTTTTTTTTTAATCAAACTTGGAATTATATCAATACAAACGTGTCATAAACGTAAGCTATGCCAGAGTTAAAACGTTTAACTTTCAGACGATTTTATTTCATCACAGACTAGCACATCAGCACGCATGTGCTGGTCCTACTAGGAAGTACAAAACATGGGAAGTAGCAAATACGCATGCGTCACATCCTTTTCTTCCCAGAGTGGACTGAGCTGGTCGCACGCTCTACATGTTGCAGACAGTATAACTTAAGGTAAATGTGTTTGAATTAATACTTAGTTGTATCGATGCATTCTAACATAAGTGAAAGTATTGTTGCAGTGATTTGTCCTGCTCATGAAATCATACGCTCGTTTAGGGATTTTCGCGTCCTGGGCTGGCCACGTGGTTGGTTCACACACGTGTTACAAAAATACGAATTTGCGACGTCGTTCAGTAGAAGCGTCATTTCTCATTAATAACTTGAATTTGAAGGATTTAAGCAACCAAATCAGTCCCGAATATTATTAAGTAAGTAATCGTCAGGACGACTCGCGCGATTTCTCATAATAATGCGTCGCATCCATAAAAAAAGACCTCATGGTGATGAGCCTGTTCATCCTGTTGCAAAACCGATCAGCCCAAATTTGTGCTTTTACTATAAATGTCATAAATTGGACGAGTATTCAAAATTTTTTAATTACCTGTTTACGTTATGACTTATTACTGAGCTTTTGAGCGATGATGTGAAGAGATCACAAATAACTTTGCTTTAGACCTCGTTTGAAGGGTTTATCTTGAGCTTAAAGTGAATACAGAAGTTTTGCTGTATTACGTTTCTTCAAGGACCGTATAATCAATATTATAATGGTGTCATCATGATTTTGTCAAATCTTGTTGTAATCATGACCTATCTTTGAAAAGGTTTTAAGTATCCCATGAGGACTGTTATAAATCATTTTGGCAGCTGCGTGTCCCAGATCTGGTGATAAATTGCTCCTTTGCCATTTGCTCTGCTGTCGGCAGGACTGTGCTCTGTCCGGCATAGGTCTGCTGTCCCCTGTGTGGCCTGACTGGTTTGGGAATGGTCTTACATGACCTGGATTGGGTAATCAGGGCTTTGATTCACTTGGAGGTGCTGTGGTCTTGGTAAAGGTCCTGACCTTGAGTTGAGCTAGCCTTGCCTAGGCCTTTGTGTTTGTGTGTGAGGGTCTACTCTCAAGCTGTGTTACAATGCCTTTTGACCTTTAGCTCATCAGTCATCTTTTTGAGGTGGAATTGAGTTTTTCATGTTCCTCTTCCATCAGTGCTGCTTATTTGAGGCATTAAATCTATAACTGAAATAACATGGGTAATTGGTATATCATTCATAACTTTCTGCTGCTTTTGTCATGTTTCTTTACTAAGAAGAATTACAAGTTAAATTTATCCCTTTTTTCAGTCTCAGAAGAGGCAGATGAAGATGGCTGCAGCCAGTGGAAAGGATCACTGCAAAGGTAAGAAACTGAATTTGCAAAATTGTTTTTAACTAAACATGTCGACAAGATTACTGGGATGTATAGTGTGTCGGATTGGTTCGTTAAACCAAAAGCAGTGATTCCACATTTTTGCAGTTTATTTTTCATGCCACATTGGGGTGCTGATTTGATTCTGAAGCAATAGCAATTGACTATTGGTATGTGAGTAAGAACATATAGCCACCTTCACTTATCCTCACTTGGTTCAAGCATTGCTACTGATAAAGTGCAGATGAAGAGAAATATATTTTTTAGATGTGCATTATAAATGTGTTAATGTTTTTCTTTTGTGTGAAATGAATGTTGAGGAATGCTTGTTGCCATGATGAGTCACGTTTTGCCGTTTACCCATCAGACCAAAATGGATTGCTGATATTGTGACTATCTGAAGCAACAGAGTTGATTAGCCTGTAGCCTGTTTGAGATTTAACCAGCATTAAATTTGACTTTACTTCTCCCCCCACCAGGTCCAATGATTATACTAGGAAAGAGTGGTACTTGAGAAGTTCAGATCTTGAAGACTGGCAAGTTATTTTTCTTTTTGGAGTGTGAAATATGTATTTTTGAAATTGCTTGTCACCATGATGATATCACATTTTCGCCGTTTACCCATCTGACCAGACTGGGTTGTTGACACTGTGACTATCTGAAGCATAAAGGAACAGCAGAATTGAATTGACTACCCAGAACCCCATTTGAGAATACAACAGTATTAATTTTATTCTATCTCCCCTACCAGATCGAAGGACTGAATCTAGAAAATGGTGACATGAAAAATGCAGATGAATGAAGACCGCTTACTTTTATACTGGTAAATAATTGTATACAATTCATTCTATACTTGATGTCTTTCACCATGATGATATCACATTTTCGCCGTTTACCCATCAGACCAGACTGGGTTGTTGACACTGTGACTATCTGAAACCTGAAGCAACAGCAGAATTGAATTGACTACCAAGAATCCCATTTGAGAATACTACAGTGTTGATTTTATTCTACCTCTCCTACCAGATCGAAGGACAAACTAGAAAATGGGGACAGAAGTGCTGATGAATGAAGACTGGTTAGTTGCAATACTGGTAAGTTGCATACATTTTAATTCTATATTTGATATTAATGTCATTTGCTATGATGATTTCACATTTGCCGTTTACCCGTCAGACCAAATTGGGGTGCTGAAACTGTGACTTTCTGAGGACATGACCTGACTTTAAATAGGCAAAAGCTTAGTTCCTACTTGTAATACCTTGCTTCATTCCTCTATACAGGTTGCGTAGGTGTGCACAAAATTCAAGATCTGCTTGCGGGATTCTTCCAGTGTAAGGTCCCTCTGGTGTAGGGAGTCCAGGTCATGAAGAGCACAGGGAAACACTGCATCAGGTGGAAAAACAAGCGCAGAGGCCCCTGCATTCCCAAGACAAACTTTGTCATTCTCAAACACTCGACACACGCAGTAACAGGAGCTTGATCCTAACTTTAAACTAGTAATGAACTGCAAAAGTGAATGGGTTGATCAAATGCACATTGAAATAAATTCTTTAAAAAAAACATTCCTGTTTTTGTTTTTTTACTGAATGTCATTTTAGAATGAATGGATTTCAAAGTTTGTTTAGACTTTAGAAAGACATAAAATGAAGGAACTAACCATGTTTTAGGGTGACCGAACTCTCGCACAGTAGTACTGCAATGACTGCATCTTCCTCCAGAACTTGCTTTCTCAGACTGAGTTTAGCATGAGCCTGGGCCAGAGAAATCCTAACAGAACCAGTAAACAATATTAGTTGTGTATAAAATTGTATTTTTTTTTTTATCTACAGTTGTGACTGCTTGTTTTACAGTAATAGTTAGATTATTTATGCTTTATTCCCTCATCCCTTTTTAAGTAGTTGTTTGGTGTACTAATGTCTTCAATCTATTTCAAAATGAACTATTGCATGTTTGCTGACAATCTGTTGGAAATGGGGAAGCCCTTAATTTGCAGACTTGCAGTATAACTGCTCCATCTAGTGGTCTAATATGGCTATGTACAGAAGAGATGCCAAATGTCACTTTCCTTTTAAAAGGAAACTGTTTCAAACTGGTAACTTTGTAATGCTTACAGCAGTTTGACAGAGACAGAGGATCTCTGTGTGGAGTCTGAGCGAACCCTGCGACTGCCCATGTAATAGCCATGGATCATCCTTTCCGCCTCAGGGCTCATGTCGACTTTCAGCTCCCTTGCATGAGCCAAGAGCTAGAAGATATTCAAGTGTGGAAAAACATGCTATTTTTCAAGTAATTAAGTCGTAGATTACTTTACATTTCAAACTAGTAAACTGAAAAAGAGACAGCATTCCAAATACAGTGTTGTACTGTGCACTACTGGCCAAACGTTAACATATATATTTTTTTAAACGAAGCCTTTTGTTCACTAAAGAAATAAAAGCAGACATTAAATAATATGCTGAGTTCATGCTATGTCATAATTGCAGACATTTCAACTCTGACCTGGGAAATGTGTTTCTATTGCAACACTATGGTTAAATGAATCAGCAGTGGTCATGTGGTACAAGTAGGAGCTCTCAAATTACTAGTTTGTAATTACAATCTCAACGAGGACGTGGATGCGTTACAAGTTGAAATCTCATAATTATGATATGATGTGAATGCACCTTTATTAAAATTTTAAAGGGGTTTCGATCCTTTTGACTGGTAGTGTATTATTGACAGACCTCTTTGTAGTCTTGTGTGGTAAACTGCATGCATGCTGGGTAAAGTGGTTCTCTTGGACACATGGCCTGTCTCAGGGTATGCACTGTCATGGACAGAAGTGGATGATTGCCGCTTGTTTCTCGACACTGGACTACAAGTTCAAATGCCCCTGCGAGTTGAAGGGGAACCGAACCCATTTCCTGCATTTATAAAATAAATAATAATCACTATAAAATAAGCAGATGCTGTAAAACCATGACTACTGATGTAATGCTGTAAAATAACACTAAGTCATTTTTTAGACATTTTGGAGTAAGCAGGGGTGCGGTTCAGTAACTGCTACAAATGACCACAATGAGGAACTCTCCTAAAATAGATGGCATTGTCTCTGGTTCCTGTTCCCAAACACAGAAAAAGGTGGGGTCATCTGTGAAGCATTACAACAGTCCTAATCAGTCTTTTGTTATGTACTGCATGCTTGTAAAAGTCCCACATTATCATTTCCTGAGGAAAAGCTTCTTTTGACTATAATAAGATTGGATATGAACCCACCACAGAACCCAGCACCACATTATCACATCTGGCTGTCCTTTTGGAGGGGGAAGCAGCATCAGCTAAGGCCCAAAAGTTACACTGGATGGGGAAGGAGAGCTGCTGGTCCACATCATCACCATACTTCTTGGCAGGAATGAAAACAGACACAGTTCTGCTTTCAAGAGCTGAAAGAAAAATATGTATTTAGTGCTGTCCTTTAATGCATGTACAGTCTTTCATATCTAGCTGTCATCTGCGATATAAATAATGTTAATTAATTGTCACCAGACTGAAGCACGTCCAGCTTGTCTTTCTTGTAACATGTGAGGTCTCCCAGCAGACAGACTCCTCCAGATGCCAGCAAAGCTGAACCTGCATGGATGTTGGCCGTACCTGCTCCATGTTCATCTCTAGATAGAGATGCCAACAGCTCTCCTGTCAGCTCATGATGAATGCCTCGTGAGGCCAATGTCAGGCTATATCTCATCAACCTGTCAACGAATAAACACATACTATGCATCATATTTTGAAGATCATTATCAAAATGGATATGTGCATTTGGTAAAGCTGTACCTATCAATTATTAGACTGTCACTGGTGAAAGCAAGCACATCCAGGTGGTTGGGCGAGTCTGGATTCTCTTCAGTTTGCACCAAGCTAAGAAGTAGCCCCAACTTTAATGTGTTGTAGAGTCCCGGTGGGATCACCGGGGAACCAAATGAGTTGGCTACAATGGCAGCGAACCTCCACGGGGAACAGGCCGATGCTTCCTGCAGGTTCTGGAAGTTGTTGCTAACCAGAGGGGAGCCTGTGAGCATTGAGCAAATGAGGCAGTCAGGAGCAAATGACTTTGACATGCTGTGAATTTGTCTGGCTGTTTTTACAGCATCAAAGTCAAAATAAGACCTTACATTTTGAGGTCCATGGTTGGACGCTGCAAGCCTCAACACTCCAGGTTACATTGGGCCACTGGTGCACATGAGCTGGAATCCCCACAACTCGGTACAGATGGCCGATTCTCATGGAGTTACACAGTTCATCTAATTACGTTAAGAGAAACAAAACAATCACAGTTGGGGGCTGGTCTTCACTTATTATTTTGAGAAACAAGCTCACCACCAACACGACTGCCAAAAGAAACACTGCAGGCTCTTTTAAACAATGATTCCACTATGACTTGTAGCAACTAATGAGTGTACCTTACATTTATTAACATGTATGTTTAGTAACTAGAGCCTGGCGTATTGAATTCCAGACTAATACTAGGTCAACACAATATGCTAATACCGTCCAGAGAATCTGTGGCCTCTCCAGTTGGCTAACTGAGAAATATTATTGAAGGAGACAGGAACACCCAATCTAATAGTGAAAGACACTGTGAGAGGATGTGTTTCGGCAGTTTATGTTTTTGAGAGCTCTGATTCAACCTTATGAAAACCAGGTTAATCGGGCATGACAAGTAACAAACTAACTGGATTATTTCCTAATGCGTGGTTTAAAAGTAAAGTTTATTTGCAATACCATGAGAAAGTAAACGGGGGTAATGTAGGAAACAAAAAGTACATTTACCTCTTAGAAAAAGGGTGACAGACTGATATCTTAAAGAAGAAGCATCATGAACTCCCAAAATATCCACTGCTTTTACATGCATGAGCTCAACTAGCTGTTTATCTGTGAATTGAAAAAAAAAAAATATATATATATATCAAATTTTACACATTTTAACATTTAGACTATAAAATAACTGTTGAATTTAAGTTAAAGTAACATTTAATTTAATTATAAATATCTTTACTTTCACATTTGATCAATGCATGTGTCGTTGCTGAATAAAAGTATTATCATTATTAAAATCATACTGATCACAAAACTGAATAGTATAAAGTTTACAGATTATTTCTCCCATGTATCAAATTTATATTTTATATAATATTTCATTAATGTTGTTTATTTATTTATGTTGTCTCACCCCCTAAAACACGAGATTTCACATCCTCTTTCAGCGGTGAAGAGCAGAGAAAGCAGGTAAAATCACTTCTAACCGTGGCAGACTCTGTGGCACCTGGTGCATGAACTCTGATATGATGAAACCCTTTGGACAAATTGACAAATTGTGTAGTAAAAAAAAACAACAAATAATGCCCATAAAGTTAATTAGGTTACCTACCTCTTGAGCAAGGACATGTCTCTTCTGAGCAGAGAAATCTGGCTCCTTGTGTGTATTTGGTAACACGTGTCATGGCAATTACGAGGCCCTCCAAAGCTAAAGGTCTCATTGGACCATATCCACGAGGAAATTCAGAGAGATCCAAACAATAGTCAGGAAAAGGTGGCAAGTGAGTTGGCTTTAAAACAACATTAACCTATGGAAGAAAAAAATATATATATTTTTTATATATATTTTGATACCCTGATGGTCTATAATTGATTGTCTAGAGAATTCCAATAATATCCAAGTCAGTACTCAAACATACACTATCAGTCAAATGTTTTTTTTTTTTTTTTTAATGTTTTTGCACACCACGGCTGCATTTTTTTGATCAGAAATACTGTAAAATGTAATATTGTGAAATTGTATTACAATTTAAAGAACTGCTTTCTATTTCATATTTTTATTTATTCCTGTGATGGCAACACTGAATATTAGCAGCCATTACTCCAGGCTTCAATTCCACATGATCCTTCAGAAATCATTCTATGCTGATTTGCAAAAATATGCTGAAAACAGCTGCTGATTAATATTTCAAAAACATTAAAAACTTTTGACCAATAGTGGACACATAAACAAACAAATATAAGTGAAATATGAATTTAATTAAGCTGTTCCTTACCTGGCTTTCTGTTTCAATGTGGTCAATAAGTGACAGAGTTTTTATAGACAGATAACAAACCTGAAAAATAACCACTGCATTTTCATTTGTTTGAAATACAGAGTAGTTTCTAAAATGTAAATATCAATGTGGTCTGTTAAGCACAATACAAAACATGACATTGTTTCTTCTGTAACTTTGCTGGTAGAAAATGCATGGCTATGCGTCTTTGGATAAGCAAACGTGAGGTAACTGATTAATAAGTTGGGTATTTTGTATATTTCATTTGTGCAACTCACTGACTGAAAAAGTGAAACAGCTTTGAGAGGGTCGTGTAGTATACAGTCTCCCAGTGAGGCGTCGAGCTCAAGCAGATCTGAGGGACTTAAATCAAAACTGAACCGATACACGGCCCCCATCTGCTGCGCACCTGAAAGACATTTACCCCCCTTTCAACAGTTATAATATAATATAATAATAACATAAAATATAATGATTAATCTAAAAC